CGGCTTGAATATGTTTCCTGTCATATATTAGTCATTCTTATGATAGGACGAGTCAGTGTAGACGATGATGTAACTTCCACGTAAGATCTTATAGACTAGGTAGTCACATCACGTCAATTCAATTTCAGGATTAGATCTATTATTAGAACAGTACTAATAACGACGTAGACCTCAGTGATACAAATTCATTTCATTTTGAAAACGTTTACCTTTTCTACTTTACATAAGTTGATGATATCTATATGACTCATTCTAGATGAATATTACAGACGAAATATGGTCAGTGCAATAATTCAGTATCAAATAAGTTATTTGAATATGATAATTACAGATCCACATTTTAATATAATTGAGATAGATTGATTGTTAGATAGTTTAATTGTAGAATTTTGATTGCCTCCAAATGCCCTGATACGGCCGACAGTGCGGAGAGTCCGCTCGCACTCTCGAGATGCTCCAGCACGGCCACGCGTATATAGCCTCTGCCAGGGGAACCCTACTCATTTCCTTCTCGTGGCTCATGTGTTGTTTACGAAATTGAGAGAATGAAAAACGAATGTCTGATGCCATAACCGGGTTGGTGGACATGGAGAGTCCACCTAGGGGAGTTGGAAAACCCTTATTCCAAATCAATGGTGCACATGGGCTCCAGGATCCTAAAGGAAGAAATGGCGTATGAACCAATTATTGGTCACCGGCTACTATGGGACTACATCTCCTTATGATGCTCTACTGCCTTGTGGGTCAGACCTTTAGATCGAATGCTCTGTGTGTGGCCCATAAGTAAACCACCTGGTTCGGTTTGGGCACCCGGGCAGTATCACAGCCCTCACACAAATCAAATGCGATTTGTGTGGCGCATACGTAACTGGTGTTCTCTTGTGCCAGTATTTATGTGTTCAAAAAAAAGAATTTTGATTGTCATTCTAGATAACATGATCAATGCTTAACTTATGTGAATAGTCTATAAAGTAAGTACTAATTCATATTATCCTAAATGACAATGAATTCCTTACATTCACGTCATCGAACTCAACAACATTTAAACTATCCAACTGAGCTACAAATTTTCTATATGATTTCACTGATCAATATATCGACTAGTTGTTATTTTTCTGTGCAGTTTTTATTTGTTTAAACTGAACAGTTTGATCAATAAATAGTGATTGCCATTTTGAACAACATCACATGTACCGCAAATTTCAAATAGAAATAAACATCATTGGAATTTCTTTACATGTGATAAAACAAATTGTTTTGTGAATCATGAAAAATTTCATCAGGTGTTAGTAACAATTATTTTTTTTTCATTATATGAATATTGATTTTAGTGGAGTTTTGTTCTCTCAGCTGGATGGTTTGGTCGTGGAGCTTTCATCGTTCTTCTGAACGACATCATCAGCACAAAATTCAGATAGAAGTAAAGTGTTCGAATTTGATTTTTGTTCCTACATTTATGCATGTGCATGCACAAACCAATGGGAGACAACCAAAGCAAAGAAGTAAACAATGATAAATTTAAGGTCAATAAGAACCAATCACCATTGAGGTGCACAGAACAAGCTGTGAAATACATATGGAAAAATTCGAACACTTCACTTCTATTTGAAGTTTGTGCTGATGATGTCGTTCAGAAGAACGATAAAAGCTCCACGACCAACCATCCAGCTCAGAGAACAAAACTCCACCAAAATCATCCACCTGAGCTACAAATCTTCTCCACCATCTCACATTGATTTTAATTGTATTCATCCCATGACTTAATATTTAGTTATGATTTTGTAATTGATTATGATTTCTTCTAGTTGGTTGGTCAATATTAGTGTGTATTATTAATTACTTACGGGGGGTTTTTGGGGGGGAGGGAGGGTGGTAAGTTTTTTTTAAAAATATTTGCTGGTATTTTCTAATATTGTCTCTGTTTATGATTTGTGAACATTTCAGTTAAACTTGTGTTCACAATTATCCACATACATTGATAACAATGAAAATTTGTTTTAACATTTGATATTTTATTTATTATTTATTTTAACACATAGATATTGGTACAAGGAGGCACCAAATACATACGCGCCAAACAAATCTCATTGGATTTGTGTGAGGGCTGTGATACTGCCCGGGTGCCCAAACCGAACCAGGTGGTTTACTTAGGGGCCACACACAGAGCATTCGATCTAAAGGTCCGACCCACAAAGCAATGGAGCAACGTAGGGAGTTACAGTCTCATGGTAGCCGGTGACTAACGATTGGTTCATACGCCATTTGTTCCTTCAGGATACTGCAGCCCATGGGCACCATTGGTTTGGAATCCGGTTAAAGCGCAGGACATTCGCTTTTCGTCCTCTCATTTTTGTAAACAACACATAAGCCACAAGAAGAAAGTGAGTAGGAATTCCCTGGCAGAGGCTATTTACGCGTGGCCATGTGAGAGCATTTCGACAGGGTGGGCGAACTCTCCCTACTCTCGGCCATACCAGGGCATTTGGGGGTCATTTACATAGACAAAGGTGAATAATATAACCATTTTGTACTGTATTATTTTTTCCGTCGTTAAACTGGATCATTTTATAGAGTATATTTGATCTATTTTGTTGTTTCATCTTTCAGTTTGAATAAAATCGATCAGAGTACTTTTGCTGGAAAGTATACTACAGTATGTACTCATTGTTTCTATTAGATTTGCAAACAAATAATCTTACGAATCATATAATTATTTCTGTTGTAGCTAGGAATTCGATCTGCACCTTGTTGTGTTTTGATATATCTGAGTCTCTATTTTCTCTAAATTTATTTTAGTGACCAATTCATTTAAAAAATTGGTAGTGTATTGTATGAATTCATATTTAGTATGAATTTCACGTGTATAGACCATTGAATTTTCATAATTTACTTAACAAATATATATACACATAGAATGGTATCTTAGTAACCTAGTGGGTAAGTCGTCTCCACGTGATCAAATGTTATCAGAATACACTTCCCAGAAGTGCTCATACTAGGACCAAACAGCTGTCCAATGTTTTCAATTGAAATAAAATTAGTAATGTAAACTATGAATATTATTCACTTGGTGTTATTTTAATTGTATCATCTCGTTGATGTTTATAATTGTAATTGATCAATCTCTTGTTCACATGTGCATCTTGTGCACATAGTCTCGATATAGCCTTAAGTCACAAACTTTTTAAGCAAAGATGGATAGTGGCTAGCAGTGGAATCCAGTTTGACGCGCGTTTCGTCCTAGTTGGAACTCGTCAGCTGGATATACCTGCAACTCGTCGTTAGATTACTGTCTAGGGACTGATAACACATGAATATGATAGAGACACTTCTTTTTATGATAAGTAAAAGTTTGACAGTTTTAACGTCAAAACATTATGCTACAAAGATATCTAAATACTAATCCATGTTATACTAATGTAATTCTTCTTTATTTCTATATATATAAGAAATATTAAGTTACTATTATGTATATACATGTTGTATGCGTCACGTTTACTCTGATATTAATACAAATATTTTAATATTATAGAATCATATGATGATAAACAATAAACGTTGTATATTGAATGCCAAATTATTTATCAATATGAATCTAAACTAATCTATTTATCAGTAGATAATAATCAACATTTTTTGATAAGTAAAATGTCATATATATTGCTTGTTTATTTGTTTCTAAGAAAATAATAATAATTAGTATGCATTATATAATGCTGTTCAACTTCACTCATAAATACCCTAGTACGACCGAGGATGGGGATAGTCATCTGTCCCACTCAAAATGCTCTCACATCCCCACACATATAAACCACTGCCACGGAACTCCTACTCATTTCCTTCTCGTGGCGAGAGTGTTATCACGAAATTGAGAGGACGAAAAGCGAATTTCTGGCGCTTTAACCGGATTGGTGGATATGCAGGATCCATTTAGGGGAGTTGGTAAACCCTGATTCCAAATCAATGGTGCATATGAGCTCCAGGATCCTGAAGAAGCAAAGGGTGTATGAATCAATTATTAGTTACGGCTATCAAGGGACTGGATTTCCTAAAGTTGCTTCATTGCCTTGGAGATTAGGCCTCTGAATTAAATACTTGAGGAGTCGCCGCCTAAGAGAACCCAGCTGTTTCGGTTTGGGCACCCAGGCAGTATCATGCACAAATTGAGTGACTTGTATGGCGCGTGTGTATTCAGCATCCACTTGTACTAATATTTATGTGTTCAAATAAATGAATTATAAATTCTTTTATATCTATCGATTAAAACACTTTAAAACATTTTCAAATTTCATAATAAATATATTTTTTGTTGTATTCTAATAAGTAGAAAAGTTGTATTTCTGATGTTTCGTGACTTAATGTGAACTACTTCTTCAGAATAAATTTGGCTAGATATTTACATCAGAAATATACTTGTGATTAACTTACTATCCAATGCTCAATTGATTTGAAAATCTATCAAATTCAATCATGGCAATGATACCAATTTTCAAATATGGTTAAATTAATTTATGCCATGAATCAATATTATTTGAGAAAGTTAGTCTCTACCTCCCTCATTCACAGCCACATCTGACTAATTCTTGTACAAACGTTTTTCCATATTTTATTGGTACGTTGTGGTCTGTTTGATTGGTATATAAACTCAGAATCTTTGTAATATAACGATGCATATCTCAGAGGCTGAGACTTGCGTTCTGGACTAAACTAGCTGGGCTGAACAGGGAAGCGGGACCAATCACGACTCTAGGGCTGCTCAAACGTATTTTACCCGTCCTTGATCCGATCGATAAGTCACTGTCCTCTAATCTGCAGTCACACTTATAACATAAACTTTCATAATTACTAGATGATGTCTTACATGTCAGATATTGAGATCTTTGAAGTGAATACATTTTATGTAAACTTTAATATCAGAATATTTAAAAAGAAAAATGTATTCAATTTCAAAGAAAGTTTTATGAATGTACATTTGAATGAAAAAGACTATTCTCACTTACTGTTAAGATTTTCTGTTAATCCAACATTTAATATGATTGATTGAGATGACCTGTTCTTACTTAAACTGTTTTGAGTCTATTTTAGAAAAAACAAAACAATATGAAACAATTAAAATGACGAAATCATATTTCAATATTTGGGATCATGAGTCAAGTGAAGCAGTTGTTTTGTCTACCTACAAAGTTAAATAATGTGTTGATTGTTTGATAATAAAGCCATCTTTACAATTCTGTTTTGCCCGTTTAGACTTTAGCTCGTCATGCATTGTGAGTTAACATATTAACTTGACTGAATAGGAAGCTTCGGAAAACAAAATTTATAAACCATATTAGGTTCAATATTTGATCCAACAGTTTTAAATAAGACAGAACAACGAAAGTTTAATTATTTATGATAGAATGAAACTAGATATATCTGGGTCATTCATGATATATATATATATATATATATATATATATATATATATATATATATATATATACTCTCTGCCGTACCAGGGCCGAGAGTAGGAAGAGTCAGCTCTCCCTCCCGAAATGCTCTCAAACGGTCACGTGTATACAGCCACTGCCAGAAAATCCTATTCACTGCCTTCTCACAACGATGTTGTTTACAAAATTGAGAGGACCTAAAAAGAATGTTCGAAGCTCTAACCGGGTTGGTGGACGTGGAGGGTCCACCTAGGGGAGTCGGAAAACCCTGACTCTAAATCAATGGTGCACATGGGCTCCAAATGACGTATGAATTAATCTTTGGTCACCGGCTACTATAGGACTGCATCTCCTGACGTTACTCCGCTGGCTTGTGGATCAAACCTTTAGGTCAAAGGTTGCGAGTGTGCGCTCCTAAGAAAACCACCTGCTTCGGTCTAGGCACCTGGGCAGTATCACAGCCCACATACACAAATCAACTGACTTGTGTGGCGCATATGCATTCGGTGCCTCTTTGTACCAATATTTATTTATTCAAATAAATAAATAAAGAGGTCACAAAAAGTATTGGAGATTTATGCATGATTCGTGTATACTGTTTATATTCAAATTATATACAAATCATTTGATTACAAAACATTCACGTCAGGTAAATAATAAAATTATTCAATATGTTCAATAGATACTAACAAAGATGATCTATTTCAATAAATAATATAATCAAACCAAAATATAATTATAATAGTTGAGATTATAAGTCAATTGAAGCTAGATCACCATGGAAAATCTGAGAGCATTGGATGATCAATTCGTCCTATTCTGAGACTCCTCAGCAGTGCTCGTCCACAATCTCACTTCATAAGATTCGAACCCAAGATCTATCAGTTTCTCGCGTGAACTTTTAATCTCTAAAGCATTTAGTCTATCAGCATTCAACAGTATTAATCTATATTAATCAAAATTCATGAAATACTTACAATTTTTCAAGTTCTTTATTTAATTCTTCTACTGTATAATTTGGATTAATGATTATTGGATTTGATAAGATAGAATTAATTTGTTGTACAGTTTGTTTATATTCTTGATAATCATTCATATTATCATTATTATGATCATGATATAAATCTCTTTAAAACAAAATGATTATCTTTGTAATTGATCATATTAACTTACTCATAATTAGGTAGACTTTTAATTAATTTTAATGATGTCATAAGTTGATCATTAATTTGTTGATGATTATCTAATACATCTAAATGATCATCTTTATCATTAGATAATTGATTATCATTATATTGATTTATAGGTTTTTCATTTGATGATTGCCTATTATGTAATCTATTGATTAATGCTATAATATAATAAAATAATAATAATAATCATTCATTGTTACTATGCTATAAATGAACTTACATTTTCGTGTTGTTTTTATTTTATTTTTTTTATTTTTTTGTAATTCATTATTATTTATTGAATAATTAAATTGATGTTTTGAATGAATGATTTGTTCATTGGGTTCCTTTTTTGATTGGTTGATTTTACTTTTAAATTTGATAATTGATTTAATTATAGAATGCATATTGAAATATTTTAAATAATGAAAAATAAATAAATGAATAAACAATATGAAACTTTGCTTAGTTACTAATATGTTTATATCACTAACAACAACAACAATAATAAATTTCATTTCAATTGTTAAATGTTATAACATAAAGCCTGGTTAGTGATCATGTGATTTATTTACCAATCAAAATACGACTTATTCAATTTGAATACTGTGTTAAACCAATGATGTTCGATGTGTATGAGTAGTAGATGAGTAATAGATGTGTACTACAATCAATCATCTGTTTGCTTAGTTATGAATGAACAAGATGTAAGATGGTTGAATGAAATGAGCAAGTAGCTTGAAATATAAATTTTGCTCTATCTCACACTCACCAATCGGAATGATATGCAGTATAGAAAGTGCAGATAATTCATATATCACTGGAACAATTGTCCCCTAGTGTCATGGTCGAAAAACGTTGTAATTCAGCCATAAATTCCACAACTAACATCTTTTAAGACTGCAACCTATAAGTCGCTAAATAATTCATGTTGATTGACTTGTATTCTCCGTAACAATAGTTACCTAAGTAAGTATAAATATGTCTGTTGATATAATCTTAACTTTTTAATTTATTGTTATGGCTTAAATTGACGTTGTTCTTGTCATTACTGATTGGTTTCTTTACTACATATACAAATATCAGCAGCTTCAAACAGTGTATCAAAACACCATAGTTCAATACATGATGTAATACATACGAATGTTCAGAAGTGTACTGTGCATTATCCAGTGAATAATGCGTCGAGTTTTGAAATGATCGATATTCGATTTCAATCTCAATGTGAACAATAACACTGAAATACAGAACAACTGACTTATCGAGTCTCAAATCTGACGGAGCAGGCATCCTGGATACTATTATTAGCCATTATCCATCTTTAGTAGAACCTTTTGACGAGAAAATGGTGGGAAGAGGCAAGAAAAACAATTATTGATATGTATGATGTGTTTTCTCGTTCACAAATAATAAGGTAAAAGTTTGTGATGAATGTCTTTAGCACTATGATATTGATGATGGAAATAATGAAGGGAACGGTCAAGTGGATGAAAGTTTTTTAAGGACAGCGTCTAATGTGCTCTTATTAACTACGAGGTAGTGAATGAACTTGATGAAGATTTCTAATACTTTGCTTAGTGGTCATAATGAAATACAATCTCAGGGTCAATCAAACGCCTTGCTTTAACAGTGATCTTTATTCTCATGTTAACATTAAAGCTGTTTAAACAAGAAATTACACAGCAAATCACAAAGATGAGATCAAGTTTGTTAAAACTTTATCACGTGGAAAATTTCATTCTCGTAGTTCATGTGCATTTCGTAATGCCAAATGTCTTAAATGTGGTAAGATAGAACACATTCAGTCAGTATGCAAAGGTACTGTTCATTTTGCTTCAAGTAGTTATAGATCTTGTTATTTAGATCCAATAATTCGGCTGTTCCTAATGACCATTTATCTTTGTCAACCATTTCGAAAGGTAATGCTCATATTCAAAAGCGATTATATGCATCGCTTGGTTCATGTGATGACTTTATTGTGGACACAATCAGTATAGAGTCTATTATTCAGTCAAGAACTTGAAATCTTTAGATCCTGATGTTGTGTAACGACCCACTGAAGTTTCAATATTGGGGATTACTGGACACAGACTGCCCATACGAGGATGTTGTGAATTGCTAATAAGAGATAAACTGCACCCAAAAATTTTGAGACATATTGCACAACATATCGCGGCTCCACTGACTGTGATATTCAATATGTCACTTGACCAAGGTGTGTTATCTATGGACTGGAAGGACACAATCGTCACTCCCATACATAAGACAGGACCAAGACAACTTCCATCGAACTACAGACCTGTAAGCCTTATCAGTGTTGTAGTTAAAATATTGGAAAGAATAGTCAAACGGACCATAATGGCATTTATGGAAAACCAATAACTTGCTGAACATAGAAAAACATGGTTTTAGAAAGGGTCTGTCTTGTACAACGAGCCTCCTTATAGCAAGGGAATTTTGGATAAAGGTGCTAGACAACGGAAACTCAGTGGATGATATCTACATAAACTTCAGTAAAGCTTTCGACAAGGTGCTAACTAATAGACTGTTATTGAAGTTGGAAAACCTTGGTATTGCTGAACCTATTTTAAAATGGCTTAAGGATTTACTAGTGGGTCGTAGACAGAAAGTAATCATAAACTAGAAGTGCTCCATCTAGAGACAAGTACTTAGTGGAGTACCTCAAAGTTCCATCCTAAGCCCTTTACTTTTTATACTGTGCAAATGAACTCCCAAGTACGGTACAGTCCCCAATGTTATTATACTCTGACGATGTAAAAATCGGGCGAGTAATAACTGGAGACAAAGATGCATGTGCTCTTCAGGCAGAATTAAATGATATGAATAGCAAGTCTAAAGAGTGGCTGATGCCTATCAATGAGGCAAAGTGTGTCTACATGCACTTGGGGATACAAAGGTTATTACGTAAAACATAGGGGATGTGTCATTACCAGTAGTCCGGTCTCATAAGGATCTAGGGGTGACAGTGAGTAATGATCTTAAGACGACGGCCCATTGCCGAGAGGTCGTAGCCAAGGGGTTCCGAACCTCTGGGCTTTAAAACGGACATTCACTAAGTTAGACACTACCATGTTCACCAGAGTATACACATCCTTAGTGAGAACTAAGCTTGAGAACTGCGTCCAGCCTGCAAGCCCCTGTCTAAAAGGTGACTCGGATATCCTAGAAATAGTACAGAGGGCGGCCACCCGTGCAACTCCAGAACTTTGGGGTTACCATACAAAGAGCAGCTTGAAAAGCTGAACCTCTTTACTCTGTCCTATCGCAGATCAAGGGGAGATCTAATTTGATGTACAGAATACTGAGAACTGATTTTGGACTTAACCTATGCTCTTTTTTTCTACCCACTAGATCGAGACATCTCAGAGGACATAGCAGGCGAGTAGAATAGACGAGAAAGAAGAAAATACCCGTGGCATACAGGTTTTCACACCGAGTCATCAATACTTGGAACCTTCTGCCCGAAGCAGTGGTGTCCACACATTCAACTGACTCTTTCAAGAGAAGACTGGAAACTCACAGAAGCATATTAGAAAAGGGATAAACATAGGCCGTAGGCCTTCTGTCCTTTCTACACAAATCCGAATTTGAATTTAAAATCTGAATTTGAATCTGAGATGATAATTCTTCATACATACCTTAAGGAATTCGAAAAGGCTTAAAGTGGAGTTGTCTTTTCTAGTTTCTAAAGAAATTTCTGATGCTTAACTTAAAGATTTGATAGCTACTTGTGTTCAGTGCAGTGAAGGTATGAAAATTCAGCCTATAAAACTTCAAGTACAGGGTAATCCAGTCTTTCTTAAAAGACGAATAATTCCGTATGGTCTTCCAGAAGCAGTACGTAAGACATTAAACGACTTGTGTGCGAAAGGCATAATTGAACCAATTCAGTCTTCAGCATGGGGTACTCCTATCGTCACGCCACTGAAGTCGGACGGCAAGACCCCTAGAATTTGTGGTGACTATAGATTAACATTGAATTCCCGTTTGTTGAAGCAAACGTGCACGACGGTAGAAGCTGAAGATATTCTAAATCGACTTCACGGTTCTAAAGTGTTCTCGAAAGTTGACCTAAAAGATGCTTATCTTCAATTTCCTCTAGATCAATCTTCATCTATTTTGACGACAATTATCATTCCTTTTGGTCTGTTCAAATACAATTTCCTTCCATTTGGTCTAAGTTGTTCTACAGCCATATTTCAGGAAGTTATGAATAAAGTAGTTAGTGATCTTGAAGGTGTTGAAGTTTATCAAGATGATCTCATTGTTCATGGTTCTAATAAGGTAGTTCATGACCAGAGACTTATTGTTTTATTGCGTCGTTTAACTGAGAGGAATATTACAGTGAATCCAAATAAGTGCTCATTTTTTGTATCTAGTTTCGAATGTCTTGGATACCTAGTTGATGGTAATGGTTTTAGACCAGATATGAAACCACTAGCTCCACTGACAAATGCACCGTCTCCAAAAATCTTACGGAATTACGTCCACTAGTGGGCGCTCTGTAGCGTGGCGTCGAGTTGAGGTTAACTATGAACACCGCTACAAAGAAACACGTGCCAAGTTAATCAGAAGGCGAAGGTTGGACGTAACCAAATAAATCCATAAAATCCCCGAGAAACCAAATACCAGAAGACACTTAATGGACCAAATCGATATGTATTCGCTGGCGATCTCGTGGCATCGAAAGGATACCGAGATCGTGCCAGGATACAACCTTGGTTACAGAAGGTAACCGAATTCGCGCGAAGTTACAATCGAAGTGTGTGTATAAGAATGGAAGCAAAATATAGCTGTCATTAGCACAGTCAAACAAAAGCACATTAAAATAAACACTGGTACAGTTGGTTATAATAATAATTGTTTCTATTAAACCAGTCGTGTTCTCGTGATAAATGTGAGTCACTACAGGAGCCCCCCGCTAGAAAGGGTTTACACTTTCGATAAATAGCGGTTTAAATCGTGGGACTGATCGGCTGACGAGAGATTGTCGGACGGAAGAATTGGCGAACAGGAAAGCGATCGTTGATCGTCGAGTTGCCAACGAAGGTCGTTTTCGGAGAACGGTACCAGGAGCGATGTGCTGTATTTGTTGCTTGAGTTGGCATGCTACACGAGAGTGGTTTGTATCCAGAATCTGAAGACGGCGTTCGTAGGGAATGCGGACCAGAAACGCTGCAGACGAAGGACGAAACCACGTTGAGCCGAAAGACCAGAAGCGACCATAACGACCAAGTTCGAGACCAAGCGTATGCCAAGCATTCGAAACCAATATATCGACTGAGTGCGTTGACAAGAGCATGGGTGGCCAGTCCAGCTTTCGCCAAAGTTGACTGAAGTCGACGGAACCAAACGGAGATGGTCGAAGGCGTGGGCTCAGGAAACA